GAAAGCCTAGGAAAGTATGGAATTTGTCAGTTTTTTAAAAACAGGAATATGGGGAGTTAGTAGATGAGGAGATGGCAGTATTAGGTAGATGCGCGAGAATATTTGAGGATCTTTTAATTGTTAAGGAAGAAAAGAGGCGGTAATTTCATGCACTGGTCAGGGAGGTATACATCTTTTAGGAGTGAAGAAGAGCAGAATGTAAGTGTGGGGGAGGTACGTGAGGCATTACGTAGAATGAAAGGAGGTTAAAGTAGCTGGAACTGATGGGATCATGACAGAAAAATTTAAAAGCAGGGGGGGACATAGTGTTGGGTGGTTGGTACTTTTGTTTAATAAATGTATGAAAGAGGGGAAGGTACCTAGGGATTGGCGGGAGCATGTATGTCCCTTTATATAAAGGAAAGGGGACAAAAGAGACTGTAAAAATTATAGGGAATAGTTTACTGAGTTACCAGGAAAAGTGTACGGTAGGGTTATAATTAAAAAGAATTAGAGGTAAGACAGAATGTAGGATTGCGGATGAGCAAGGAGGTTTCAGAGTGGGTAGGGGATGTGTAGATCAAGTGTTTACATTGAAGCATATATGTGAACAGTTTTTAGATAAAGGTGGGGAAGTTTTTATTGCATTTATGGATTTAAAAAAAGGCATATGATAAAAAGTGGATAGAGGAGCAATGTGGCAGATTTTGCAAGTACAGTATATGGAATAGGTGGTAAGTTATTAAATGCTGTAAAGAGTTTTTTATGGGATAGTGAGGCCTAGGTTAGGGTGTTTAGAAGAGAGGGAGGCTACTTCCAGGTAAAAGTAGGTCTTAGACAGAGATGTGTAATGTCACCATGGTTGTTTAATATATTTATAGATAGGGTTGTAAAGGAAGTAAATGCTAGGGTGTTCGGGAGAGGGGGGGATTAAAATTTTGAGGAATCAAATTCAAAATGGGAATTGACACAGTTACTTTTTGCTGATGATACTGTGCTTATGGGAGATTCTAAAGAAAAATTGCAAAGGTTTGTGGATGAGTTTGGGAATGTGTGTAAAGGTAGAAAGTTGAAAGTGAACATAAAAAAAGAGAAAGGTGATGAGGGTATCAAATGATTTAGATAAAGAAAAATTGGATATCAAATTGGGGAGGAGGAGTATGGAAGAAGTGAATGTTTTCAGATACTTGGGAGTTGACGTGTCGGCGGATATATTTATGAAGGCTGAGGTTAATACACAAATAACCCGCACATAAAAGAGAGAAGCTTACGACGACGTTTCGGTCCGACTTGGACCATTGACAAAGTCACACTAACAGAGGTGGAGCAGGACGGCTATATATAGGCAGGAAGAGGTGGAGGTAGTAGTAGTAGTAGTAGTACAAGAATTGTATATAATACTGACAAGATGAAATTAAGACACATGCACAACACCGGGCATCCCCCTCGTAGACGTTTCGCCATCCAGCCAGCCACTGGATGGCGAAACGTCCACAACAAAGGGCAACAGACGCCGCACATGTGTCTTAATTTCTCAGTAGTAGTGTAGTAGTAGTAGAAGAAGAAGATGTAGTTTGTAGTGGTAGTGGTAGAAGTGGAATTTAAAGGGTGACGAGCCAGTCAAAAACAAAGGAAGGGGAGCACTGCAAGGGGAGCTAGATGCCCACAGAGGGAGAGCAAGCGCACAGAGGTGCGGTGGGAAAAGGGGAAGTGGTGAAATAAAAATAAATGAAGAAGGGAACAGAAACACGAGACAGGAGAGACAAAGACAACCCAGAGGAGAAAAAGGAAAGAGGAAAGGGGAAGAGGAAGAAGAAAAAGAAAGAAAAAATGAGGATTCAGGTTAAGTCACGGGTGTTCTGAAGTTTGGAGCATTTTACAATGTAGTGGGAGAGGAAGGCATCTACAGAGATGAAGCCAGGGCTAAGGTTCATACAAGGAAAGTTGTGTATTAGAGAGGATTCAACAACTTGACGGCAACTGTTCGAGTTAGAAGTAGGGAAGACAGTTTTAGCAGAAGACCAGTCAATAGGATGGCTATGATCTCTGACGTGACAGAAAAGAGCATTGTTAGTGTCGGCAAGCCTAACACTATTTTTGTGCTCCCTAAGTCTGTCAGAAAGAGATCGACCAGTTTCTCCGAAGTATTGAAGAGGACAGGAGGAGCAAGAAATAGAGTTAATCATAGGTTAATCATAGAGGTTAATCATAGAATTGATGAGGGAAAAAAGGTGAGTGGTGCATTGAGGTATATGTGGAATCAAAAAACATTATCTATGGAGGCAAAGAGAATGTATGAAAGTATAGTAGTACCAACACTCTTATATGGGTGTGAAGCTTGGGTGGTAAATGCAGCAGCGAGGAGATGGTTGGAGGCAGTGGAGATGTCCTGTTTAAGGGCAATGTGTGGTGTAAATATTATGCAGAAAATTCGGAGTGTGGAAATTAGGAAAAGGTGTATTAGTATTAGTCAGAGGGCAGAAGAGGGGTTGTTGAGGTGGTTTGGTCATTTAGAGAGAATGGATCAAAGTAGAATGAATGGAAAGCATTTTAAATCTAAAAAAGGGAAAAGGGAAAGGGGGGTAGGGGTGTCCTCGAAAGGGTTGGAGAGAGGGGGTAAAGGAGGTTTTGTGGGCGAGGGGCTTGGACTTCCAGCAAGCGTGCGTGAACGTGTTAGATAGGAGTGAATGGAGACGAATGGTACTTGGGACGTGATGATGTGTTAGAGTGTGAGCAGGGTAATATTTAGTGAAGGGATTCAGGGAAACCTGTTATTTTCATATAGTCGGACTTGAGTCCTGGAAATGGGAAGTACAATGCCTGCACTTTAAAGGAGGGGTTTGGGATATTGGCAGTTTGGAGGGATATGTTGTGTATCTTTATATGTATATGCTTCTAAACTGTTGTACAGTGGACCCTCGACCAGCGATGGCATCGATTAACGATAAATCTGACTAGCAATACATTTCATCGCAAAAATTTTGCCTTGATTAGCGCTAAAAAGCTCGACCAACACTATTCATTCCGTCTGAGACGCGTCCACTTCTGGCCAGTGTTTACAAGCCAGCCAGCCACCGCGGTCGCTTCCAAGCATACAATCGGAACATTTCATATTATCACAGCCTTTTTAGTGATTGCACCTGCAAAATAAGTCACCATGGGCCCCAAGAAAGCTTCTAGTGCCAACCCTACAGCAAAAAGGGTGAGAATTACTATGGATATGAAAAAAGAGATCATTGCTAAGTATGAAAGTGGAGTGCATGTCTCCGATCTGGCCAGGCTGTACACAAAACCCCAATCAACCATCGCTACTATTGTGGCCAAGAAAACGGCAATCAAGGAAGCTGTTCTTGCCAAAGGTGCAACTATGTTTTCGAAACTGAGATCGCAAGTGATAGAAGATGTTGAGAGACTGTTATTGGTATGGATAAACGAAAAACAGATAGCAGGAGATAGCATCTCTCAAGCGATCATATGTGAAAAGGCTAGGAAGTTGCATGACGATTTAATTAGAAAAATGCCAGCAACTAGTGGTGATGTGAGTGAATTTAAGGCCAGCAAAGGTTGGTTTGAGAGATTTAAGAATCGTAGTGGCATACATAGTGTGATAAGGCATGGTGAGGCTGCCAGTTTGGACCAAAAAGCAGCTGAAAAATATGTGCAGGAATTAAAGGAGTACGTAGACAGTGAAGGACTGAAACCTGAACAAGTGTTTAATGGTGACACTGACAATGTTGTGAAACACTTTAGGAATGTCATAAAGGAACGGGAGGTACAGGCCTCTATGGCAGATATGTTGTGCGACAGAGGTCCAGTGACTCTCAAGCTGGTCCTAGTGGCATTAAAAGAAGAAGGAAGTAACCCGAAAAAGGACTTGCCACCTCAAGTCCTAATGGAAGGGGATTCCCCTTCTAAACACTAAGACCATCAACACACTCCCCTCTTCCCATCCCATCAATCATCACCAGATCTTCAATAAAGGTAAGTGTCATGTAACTGTGCATGTCTTCTTCAGTTTGTGTGTATTAAAATTAATATTTCATGCGTTAAAATTTTTTTTTTTTCAATACTTTTGGGTGTCTTGCATGGATTAATTTGATTTCCATTATTTCTTATGGGGAAAATTAACTTGACTAACGATTATTCTGACTAACGATGAGCTCTCAGGAACGGATTAATAGCGTTAGTCGAGGGTCCACTGTATTCTGAGCACCTCTGCAAAAACAGTGATAATGTGTGAGTGTGGTTAAAGTGTTGAATGATGATGAAAGTATTTTCTTTTTGGGGATTTTCTTTCTTTTTTGGGTCACCCTGTCTCGGTGGGAGACGGCCGACTTGTTGAAGAAAAAAAAAAAAAAAAAAAGTGATTATTATTACATAATATAGAGAGGTGCTCACGGAGAATGTAAACACACTGGGTGACGTGTGCTGTATTTGAAAGACCGCTCGCTGTATAGAAAGTTTTTGTCAAAATTTGAAATCGCTGTATTGGCGGAACGCCATAAAGCAGGGCCCTACTGTACCAATTTCTGATCACTTTATTGGGTAGTTGAAATAGATAAATGGGCAGTTTCTTGTACTCAGTTGATAAAACAAAAGTAGTCCTAGTGAAATAGCTATGAATATAGTAGACTGGAACAATGGAATTGGTCCAAAATAGGGCTTAAAGTGGGTGAAATCACCAATGCATAAATATTGCTGAGACCACTAACTTCGCGAGAATGTAACTTCATAAGTTTTCCATCATATTTCGTACTTTTGATTTCATTACAATCGGGGAAAAATTCTCTATCATTTCATAGGCAACTTTTTTTTTAAATTCTTCGATACTGAGAGCAAGTTTGCGACCAGGGGTTGCGACAGTGAAAGGGTTAAAAAAATTTAATAACAGTTTTCCCCAGTTACACAACCCCTTTCTAGTGAGCTTTCAAAACTGACTGGCTGCATACACAACAAAGCATTAGAATCATTCCTTAAAAGATAGTGAAAATAATGCAGACTGGATTCTCTTTCAGACTTACGTGTTCCAAGTAACATGTGAAACATAGAGGTCAGTGTTGCCTGGAAGAAGCTTAATGAGCGCTGAGCAATGACCATCTCCACGAAACTGTCCACTCTTCACCCAATCTTCAAAGTTAATATTATGAATGCTTGGGTCAAGGGCTGCTTCCAGATCCTCCAGATCACCCATTAAATTTAGCCATCTGAAAGCAAACAAATGTACAGTAATTTTCATACTTAGGGTAATGGTCATGCTATTGAACCTTTTCACCACTGTATGTTGTATCAATCACTGGCCTTTTAGATTATATCCTAGATGAAGTGGAATGTAAATTAACATCATTAAATACCAAATGAGAAAATAAACAATCCCTGTGGTAAGCAATTTACTTAAAACCTATAAATCATATACTGAGTTCACAAGTCCTCACTGAATTTATAAGTACATTATTAAATCTCACTTAATGTTATACCTACTGACTGCTTGTAAATTCTCATGCTTTGATTTCAACACACCAATTCTACCACTCCATAAAATGCAGGTCATTTCAATTTCAGTGTAATTTACTTGTAATTGACCAATTGTTCATTTGCAACCTATTTCATTGTACTTATGACTGTAATGAACTACCCAAGCTGTACTGACTTAAATTATATACTAGGTCTAGATACGAGTAGTATGTAAGCTTTATGATTAGTTTGCCTGAAATGCACTTGCATAATTAGTGGCTTTCTTCTGAGCCTTACATTATATCATATTATATATGTATGACATTACGATCAAATTCAAAATACTATAATAATTTTGAGTGTATAAATATAAACTTGTAAGCCTCTTAATAAATAAATAATCTGAATTTGAACAAGAGTGTTAGAAGAGTTAACTCTCATCATGCCGGAGTAATTACATGAACATGGTGAGGCAGAGAAGAATACACTGTATACCAACAGTAGGAAGAAGAATGGTTTTGAAATAGTTACCATACACATTTTAGGGATTTGAAATATAAGGGAAGAGGAGAACCAACAGCAACAGTAAAAGTTAAGAATATTATTTACCATGAAATCAGTTCATACATAACATTTATAATCTTAATCTCAGCCTGTTTCTGTATATGACTGCCTCTCCCAGTACCTTATCAAATGTTCTAATTTTCAGAAGATTTGACTTACCATAATCAGACCTGTGCCATCTCATCTCCCACTACACTGACCTTACTACTGGCTTCAACCTATTCCTCTTCACTTGCAAATTTAGTCCAGGATAAACTGAAGCCTCATCTACTTTTTATTCCCAATTTGTGGCTTATGATGAACAAGTAAATACAGTATACTGACTTACAAAATTGAATCAGGATCCATGGGGTTCTCAGCTGTCTTATTATATCCCATTGAGAGACCATTCATCTGTGTCAGGATCAAATCAACCTGTAATTCATAGATAAATTAATACCCAAAACTTCAGTACCATATCATTAGTGAACTCCCAATTTAACAGACTAATAGGAGAGGGAGAGTTTCCATTAAAGTAATTTGTCTGAGTCTGAATAATGAAATTGTTTTTCCACGAATGTAAAAATGACAATTGTGGATTTAATGGACACAGTTCATTACTTCCAAAAACAACTTACTGAGGAGAATACAACAATAAATGACAATCCTGGATTAAACTGGCTTTGACCTTTAACCCTTTGACTGTTTCGGTAGTATATACGTATATGTCCTTATGAGCCATCATTTTTGACGTAATATACTCATAAATTCTAGCAGCTTCAAATCAAGCAGGAGAAAGCTGGTAGGCCCACATGTGAGAGAATGGGTCTGTGTGGTCAGTGTGCACCATATAAAAAAAATCCTGCAGCAAGCAGTACACGAGGAAAAAAAAAATCCGACCGTTTTTTTTAATTAAAACGCCGAATTTGTAGTCTATTTTTGTATAGTATTTATGGTTGTATTCTCATTTTCTTGGTCTCATTTGATAGAATGGAAAACATATTTTTATTTTGATTGGTTTTACTATGAAAGGAACCTTGAAATGGAGCTCAAAGTAGAGGAATTGTTTGATTTTTACCAATGTTCAAAAGTAAACAAGTGATGTCCTTGTCCAATAAATGTCCAACTAGCCATTCTAATATGCAGTCATGAATGGGGTGACATTATTTATACAATTACAGTGGACCCCCGAGTTTCATGATTAATCCGTTCCAGAGAGCCTGCCAAAAGTTGAAATTCACGAAACTCGAAACCATTTTCCCCATAAGAAATAATGGAAATAAAATTAATTCGTTCCAGACACCCAAAAATATTAAAATAAAATATTTTTGTTCAAATTAAATAAAGATTTATATACTGAAATCAATGAGAAATCAAGTACATGCATATAAAAAATAATAACATTGCACTTACCTTTACTGAAGACTTCTGGGTGGATGAAAGATGGGAGGAGGGGATAGGAGGAAGGTGTACACTATTGTTTGGAAGGAGAATCTCCTTCCATTAGGACTTTAGGCTGCAAGTCCTTATCTGGGGTTACTTCCCTTATTCTTTTAATGCCACTGGGAACAACTTGAGTCACTGGACCCCTGTCGCACAAAATATCTGTCCAGAGAGGTCTTTTTCTGGCGTTTCTTTAAGATTTTCCTGAAGTGGGACACAACACTGTCATTCTACATGTTGCAGATACAGCTTGTTTCCGCTTGGTCAGGGTGATACTTTTCAACAAAACTTTGCAACTCATTCCACTTGGCACAAACCTCCTTACTCTTTGAAGAAGGCACCTCACCCACTCCCTCTTCCTCCTCCTCTGAAGCAAGTTCCTCGGCTGTGGTCTGATGCTGCTCCAGTTGAAGCTCTTGCAGTTCATCAGTGGTTAGCTCTTCCCTGTGGTCCTCCACCAACTCTTCCACATCCCCGTCACTCACCTCCAACCCCATGGACTTGCCCAATGCCACAACACCTTCCACAACTGGCAGAGGGTCGGCAGGGACAGGGTCTGCCTCAAGCCCTTCAAAATCCCTCTGGATCGTGTTCCTCACTTTATTCACCAAAGGGCTTGCACTAGCTTTCCTTGGGTCCATAATGACCTATTTAGCAGTTGCAAGCACAAAAAACAATGGATTATTATGAAATGTACTGTATGAACCCGTAGGGTGATGGTCACGTGTTGGTAAACAATGGCACACTGAGCGTGAATGGCGTGGGAGACTGGCTTGGTGTGCACGGTGACGGGCAGACGGGTACCGGACGGTCGCCAAAACACGAGTCTAATCACGAAACTCGAGGCCAAATTTTGCCAAAAAAAACTCGCTGAAGGTCGAATTTCACGAAAGTCGAGGCTGCCGAAACTCGAGGGTCCACTGTATTACAATATTGCAGTAGTCTGCATTACAGTTAATCTTCTATTTTTTGTTTGAATAAAAATTCAAAATAGAAAGCAAGAGTAATATCAGAGGGGCCTGGAGACATGACTGATGAACAAAGAAATGTTATTTTAGAGCCAGGAATGTCTGCATTGTTCATTCTGGACCCTATTTTGAAATTGGCATATTTTTTAATTTGCATGAAATTGGCCAAATTGCCAATTTCTGACCACTTTATTGGGTAGTTGAAATCGGTAAATGGGGAGTTTCTTGTACTCAATCGATAGAACAAATGGAGTTCTAAAGACATAGTTATGAGTTTGGTCAACCGGAACAATGGAATTAGCCGAAAATAGGGCTCAAATTGGGGGACATCACCGATTCGTTAATATTGCTGAGGTCGCTAACTTCGCGAGAGCGTAATACTATAAATTTTCCATCAAATTTCGTACTTTTGGTGTCATTACCATCGGAAAAAGATTCTCTATCATTTCATAAGAAAAGATAATTTTTTTTTTTTTAATTTTTTGCGACACCAGGAGACACCTCAGGATTTGGGGTTGCGACAGTCAAGGGGTTAAGGAGACATTGTCATTTATTGAAGTTGATTTTTTCCTTCCCTAATGATAACATTCCTTTGCTGACTACATCTGCAGGTTCTTCCTTCTATAACTGTACTTACATTGTGCCAAACTGGGCAGCTCTTCTTGTTCAGTGCAATCATAGATTTCATCCACAGCATATTCTCATTGAGGAATTTGCGCATGTTATCACAAAACTTCTTCGATTTCCATTCACAAATGCCTTCCAATGTATTCCTGATAATGATTTAAAGCTATTGATTAATTACAATAAATAATACATTCAAAGCCATGTAAATAAGAATGCAATCTGTATAAACAGTATATGGTAAGAAATGGTCAGCAGAGAAAAAGAAAATTACTGGGAGACCGATATGGGCCAGGATAATTAGCTTCCAACATTAGCCAGTGCTCTTGTTCAATATGGCACCTAAACAAATTATGTAAAAACAGAAATGTGCAAAACAATAGTGAACTATAAAAATATTATGGGATCATATGTTGTTGAAAACTCTGTGCACCTTCACTGATAGTCAATCTGCATCTACATACATAATCTACTTGCATAGGTGAAAAAATTTACATACAGTGGTCCCTGGAGTTATGATGGTCTTGAACTGAAATAATTTTGAGCTATGATATACCCTCACAAAAAAAATTAGTTTTGAGTTGCATTGAAAAATTTAAGACATGATGGGCATATGATGGTCAGATTGAGTGGGTGTGTTTAAGCCAAGAAACAAGACTAGGTGAGTGGGAGGGAAGGGGAGGGTAGTAAGTGGCAGTGAGAAAGGTAGGTAGAGAAGGGCAGAAGACTGTATGTGTACCAGAGGTGGGTGGCAGAAGAATTTAACCAAGTGTAAATATTATATGTTAAGTCTCCAATTCTTTATCAATTTGCCTGCCCTGCCCTGCCCTGCTCTGCCCTGGTCTGCTCTGCCTGCCAAGGCCTGGACTGGTGTCTGCCTGCCTAACCCTATCCTGCCCTGCTTGCTCTGGCCTGTCCTGCCCTGCTTGCTCTGGCCTGTCCTGCTTTGCTTGCTCTGGCCTGTCCTGCCCTGCTTGCTCTGGCCTGTCCTGCAATGCTTGCCTGCCCTGGCATACTCTTTCTTACCCTACCAACATGCCTTGGCCTGCCCTATCTGCTGTATCTATCAGTCCTGACTGTCCTGGGCTGTCCTGCCTTGTCCTGCCAGTTCTGACCTGCCCTGCCCTGGACAGCTATGGGCTGTCCTGCCCTGGGCTGTCCTGCCCTGGGCTGTCCTGCCCTGGGCTGTCCTGCACTGGGCTGTTCTGCACTGGGCTGTCCTGCCTTGTCCTGCCAGTTCTGACCTGCCCTGCCTCCTCTATTCTGTCCTGCCTGCCCTGCCCTATCCTTCCACTTTGCCTAGGTATAAGCTTATGAAAGATAGGCTTACTTTGCTGTTGGGTGCCACTGCCTCTGGAGATTTCAAGCTGAAGCCTACCACTCAGAAAAATGCAGGAGTGTTTATATAAGAAAAAGTATCCAAGGGCAGGTTGGGTGTGTTCTGGCATTGCAATAAGGCCTTGGTGACAAGACAACTCTTTAGTTAATGGGCCTAAGAAGTGTTTTGTCTGCCAGTCAAGAACTACCTGCAGATCAAGCTTCCTCTAGTGGAATTGTTACAGTTGGATAATGCAGTAAGACATGATCTAGAACTTGCTCAATCTCTGGAAGCAGAATTTACTCTTGTTACAGTTAGATTCCTCCCACCCAACATAAACAACTCTTCAAGTCCAAGGTACAATAAAAGTTGCACCTCTTGGGTCTTGGAATGAATTACCATAAAATTATGTATTTTAAGATTTGAGTTACAATAATTTTAAGGTATGAGACGTCTTCTGGAACGGATTAATATCGCAACTCAAGGGACCACTGTACTGTACCTTAAGTAAGATTAATTCATCTAGCTTAAATTTTGTACACACTACTGTATACCTTAAAATATTACTGAAACACATTTTTTTACAGTGCCACACAAAAAAGACTATTTATTCTTGTTAATAAACTTTTACCTATATGATTTGTAAATCAAATCATGAGTAGCTGCTCCTTCAGCAAAGCCTGCAGCAAAGGCTTGAACAGCATCAGGGAACACAGGATTCGTTTCTAACTCAAGGTAACTCCATCTGAAAAATATTTTGCATTGTACAGCACTCTTTCTTTGGTTCAGCAAGAATACCATTACATACAGCACAACGATAGTAAACAGTGCAGTATTAACTAAAACTTTAACACAGTATTGTAGCATCATATCACATGATCACAGCTGATGAAGCCAGGTGATATACTACAATGCTACTGCAAGCAAGTAATTGATAAGATAATATATTTGAATCACTACTAAATAATTAAAACATTTTATGCTAGTTAAAATGGATTTTTTTTTTTTAAATGCATAAGCCGTTTCCCACCGAGGGAGGGTAACTCAAAAAGAAAAGACTTTCATCATCATTCAACACTTTCACCCTCATTTATACACAATCACTGTCTTTGCAGAAGCACTCGGATACAACAGTTTAGACGTCCCTCCAAACTGCCAATATCCTCAACCCCTTCTTTAAAGTGCAGGCATTGTACTTCCCATTTCCAGGACTCAAGTCTGGCTAACTGGTTTCCCTGAATCCCTTCACAAAGTGTTACCCTGCTCACACTCCAACAGCTCAATGGGATCTCAATGCTGAAGTGGGTAAAATGTTGCAAAGGTAGTAGGAAAATCTGGGATGCCAGGGGTAAATGAAAATGGGGAGCCTTTAACTGAACTATGTGTAAAAAGAGGTTTGGTAATAAGTAATACATATTTCATGAAAAAGAGGATAAATAAGTATACAAGATGTGATATAACATATAATGAAAGAAGTTTGTTAGATTACGTATCGGTGAATAAAACAATGATGGGTAGGCTTCAGGATGTACATGTTTATAGAGGGGCAACGGATATATCAGATCATTATCTAGTTGTAGCTACAGTTAGAGTATGAGGTAGAGATGACAAAGAGAAAATGGCAACAGTAAGAGAGTGGTGAAAGTTTATATACTATGGGAGGAGGAAGTTAGGGTGAGATATAAGCAACTTTGACAGAAAAGTGGGCTAGTGCAAGTATAGGTAGTAGAGGAGGTTGAAGAGGGATGAGTTTTAAAAATGCAGTATTAGAATGTGGGGAAGAAGTTTGTGGCTATAGGAGGGTGGGTGCAGGAGGAAAGAGGAGTAATTGGTGGAATGATGAGGTAAAGGGTGTGATAAAAGAGAAAAAAGGTATATTATGAGACATTTCTACAAAGCCGAAGTGATATAAGAAGGGCAGAGTATATGAAGAATAAAAGAAAGGTGAAGAGAGTGGTGAGAGAGTACAAAAGGAGAGCAAATGAAAAGAGTGGGAGAGGCATTATCAAGAAATTTTACTGAGAATAAGAAAATTTTTTGGAGATAAACAATGGATTTGTCAGATAAAAACAGAGTAGGGGAGTTAAGTTAGTAGTTGGGGAGCTAGAGGTATAGGGTAGATGGCAGGAATATTTTGAGGAATTTTTAAATCTCAATGAAGAAAAGCAGGTGGCAATTTCATGCACTGGCCAGGGAGGTATAGCATCTTTCAGGAGAGAAGAAGTGCAGGATGTGAATGTGGGGAAGGTGCATGAGGCATTATGTAGAATGAAAGGGGGGTAAAGCACCTGGAACTGATGGGATCATGACAGAAATGTTAAAAGCAGGGGGAGATATAATGTTGGAGTGGTTGGTATTTTTTGTTTAATAAATGTAAGAGAGAGAGAGGAAGGAACCTATTGGTAGAGAGCATGTATAATTTCTTTATATAAAGGGAAGGGGGGATAAAAGCAATTGTAAAAATTATATGGGAATAAGTTTACTGAAAGAGTGGGAGAGGCACTGTCAAGAAATTTTAATGAAAATAAGAAAAAATTTTGGAGTGAGTTAAACAAGTTAAGAAAGCCTAGGGAAAGTATGGATTTGTCCGTTAAAAAACAGAGTAGGGGAGTTAGTAGATGGGGAGAGGGAGGTATTAGGTAGATGGCGAGAATATTTTGAGGAACTTTTAAATGTTGAGGAAGAAAGGGAGGCGGTAATTTCATGCACTGGCCAGGGAGGTATACCATCTTTTAGGAGTGAAGAAGAGCAGAATGTAAGTGTGGTGGAGATACGTGAGGCATTACGTAGAATGAAAGGGGGTAAAGCAGCTGGAACTGATGGGATCCTGACAGAAATGTTAAAAGCAGGGGGGATATAGTGTTGGAGTGGTTGGTACTTTTGTTTAATAAATGTATGAAAGAGGGGAAGGTACCTAGGGATTGGCGGAGAGCGTGTATAGTTCCTTTATATAAAGGGAAAGGGGACAAAAGAGATTGTAAAAATTATAGAGGAATAAGTTTACTGAGTATACCAGGAAAAGTATACGGTAGAGTTATAATTGAAAGAATTAGAGGTAAGACAGAATGTAGAATTGCGGATGAGCAAGGAGGCTTCAGAGTGGGTAGGGGATGTGTAGATCAAGTGTTTACATGAAGCATATATGTGAACAGTATTTAGATAAAGGTAGGGAAGTTTTTATTGCATTTATGGATTTAGAAAAGGCATATGATAGAGTGGATAGAGGAGCAATGTGGCAGATGTTGCAAGTTTATGGAATAGGTGGTAAGTTACTAAATGCTGTAAAGAGCTTTTATGAGGATAGTGAGGCTCAGGTTAGGGTGTGTAGAAGAGAGGGAGACTACTTCCCGGTAAAAGTAGGTCTTAGACAGGGATGTGTAATGTCACCATGGTTGTTTAATATATTTATAGATGGGGTTGTAAAAGAAGTAAATGCTAGGGTGTTCGGGAGAGGGGTGGGATTAAATTATGGGGAATCAAATTCAAAATGGGAATTGACACAGTTACTTTTTGCTGATGATACTGTGCTTATGGGAGATTCTAAAGAAAAATTGCAAAGGTTAGTGGATGAGTTTGAGAATGTGTGTAAAGGTAGAAAGTTGAAAGTGAACATAGAAAAGAGTAAGGTGATGAGGGTATCAAATGATTTAGATAAAGAAAAATTGGATATCAAATTGGGGAGGAGGAGTATGGAAAAAGTGAATGTTTTCAGATACTTGGGAGTTGACGTGTCGGCGGATGGACTTATGAAGGATGAGGTTAATCATAGAATTGATGAGGGAAAAAAGGTGAGTGGTGCGTTGAGGTATATGTGGAGTCAAAAAACGTTATCTATGGAGGCAAAGAAGGGAATGTATGAAAGTATAGTAGTACCAACACTCTTATATGGATGTGAAGCTTGGGTGGTAAATGCAGCAGCGAGGGAGCGGTTGGAGGCAGTGGAGATGTCCTGTCTAAGGGCAATGTGTGGTGTAAATATTATGCAGAAAATTCGGAGTGTGGAAATTAGGAGAAGGTGTGGAGTTAATAAAAGCATTAGTCAGAGGGCAGAAGAGGGGTTGTTGAGGTGGTTTGGTCATTTAGAGAGAATGGATCAAAGTAGAATGACATGGAAAGCATATAAATCTATAGGGGAAGGAAAGAGGGGTAGGGGTCGTCCTCGAAAGGGTTGGAAAGAGGGGGTAAAGGAGGTTTTGTGGGCGAGGGGCTTGGACTTCCAGCAAGCGTGCATGAGCGTGTTAGATAGGAGTGAATGGAGACGAATGATACTTGGGACCTGACGATCTGTTGGAGTGTGAGCAGGGTAATATTTAGTGAAGGGATTCAGGGAAACCGGTTATTTTCTTATAGTCGGCCTTGAGTCCTGGAAATGGGAAGTACAATGCCTGCACTTTAAAGGAGGGTTTTGGGATATTGGCAGTTTGGAGGGATATGTTGTGTATCTTTATACGTATATGCTTCTAAACTGTTGTATTCTGAGCACCTCTGCAAAAGCAGTGATAATGTGTGAGTGTGGTGAAAGTGTTGAATGATGATGAAAGTATTTTCTTTTTGGGGATTTTCTTTCTTTTTTGGGTCACCCTGCCTCGGTGGGAGACGACCAACTTGTTGAAAAAAAAAAAAAAAAAAAAAAAAAAGTTTACTGAGTATACAGAAAGCAGGACTGCAGGTGAGCAAGGAGGCTTTAGAATGAGTAGGGGATGTGTAGATCAGGTGATTACACTGAAGCATATATGTGAACAGCATTTAGATAAAGGTAGGGAAGTTTTCATTGCATTTTTGGATTTAGAAAAGGCATATGATACAGTGGATAGGGGATCAATGTAGCAGATGTTGCAAGTGTATGGAATAGGTAATAACTTACTTAATGCTGTAAAGAGTTTTTATGAGGATGGTGAGGCTCAGGTTAGGGTGTGTAGAAGTGAAGGAGATTATTTCTCAGTAAAAGCAGGTCTTAGACAGAGATGTGTAATGTCACCATGGTTGTCTAACATATTTATAGATGGGGTTGTATAAGAAGTAAATGCTAGGGTGTTGGGAGGGGGGTGGCATTAAATTATGGGGAATCAAATACAAAATGGGAGTTGACACAGTTACTTTTTCCTGATGATACTGTGCTTATGGGAGATTCTAAAGAAAAGTTGCAAAGGTTAGTGAATGAGTTTGGGAGGGTATATAAAGGTAGAAAATTGAAAGTGAATATAGATAAGAGTAAGGTGATGAGGGAATCAAACGATTTAGATAAAGAAAAGAAAAACTGGATATCACATTAGAGGGAGGGAGTATGAAAGAAGTGAATGTTTTCAGATACTTGGGAGTTGACTTGTCAGCAGATGGATTTATGAAGGATTAGGTAAACCAAAGAATTGATGAAAAAAAAAAAAAAAGGCGAGTGGTGCGTTGAGGTATCTGTGGAGACAAAGAACGTTATCCATGGAGGCAAAGAAGGGAATGTAGAAGAGTATAGTGGTACCAGTGGTATAGTGTGAAGCATGGGTTGTAAATGCTGCAGTGAGGAGGTGGCTGGAGGCAGTGGAGATGTCGTGTCTAAGGGGAATGTGTGGTGTAAATATTATGCAGAGAATTCACAGTGTGGAAATTAGGAGGAGGTGTGGAGTTACTAAAAGTACTAGTAAGAGGGCTAAGAGAGGCTGTTGAAATGGTTCGGTCATTTAGAGAGAATGGAACAAAGTAGAATGACTTGGAGAGCATATACATCTATTTGGGAAGGAAGGCAGGGTAGGG